GTGAGGTTTTAAATGAACAATTTAGAGCTATTATAATTTCGTTATATACCTCTGATTTTCCAACACAGTAGGTTTATCTCCATTCTACCATTACTATTTTATGAACAATTTCAGGTGGAACTCTTTCTTTGGTTATGAGTCAATACGTGAAGCGGACTCGCATTCCAATCTCAAGTGGCATCGCCCGAAACGGGGTGATTGGTGGCAGACCGTCAATAACTAACAAACTTCAGATTCAGTAATAACAAATCACGGTTTGTTTTTTCAATGCATTAATCATCGATCATTAACTGATAAGTTGGAAAACATATATCAAATAAGTTTAAAAAGCTTGGTTCACATTTGAAAATTCCACCGTAGACCCTTTCCCCACCAGAATAATGGCAGCAACCTCATGACCTTGACCTTTTCTCGGAAGTCATTGTTTGCATTTACGTGCAAATTTGGAAAGATGCGACAGGAGAGCCTCTGACAGTTTGCGCAAGGTTAACCTGATTGTATGACTGAGATAGTCTTTGATATCTAATTACTGGTACTGGTACAAAATTTAAGAGTAGAGGCGCTTTTGCTGTAACGAGAAGTCAGTGTTGTACCGAATTTAGATACTGTTGAATTTTGCGCCCTGTCAACTTGACGATTTCACGCACCTCTACGTCTGCGTGCGACAGCTGTGGTGACCCTTACACACTCATGTGTGTACTTTGTGCTCAAATTCGATTCTACGGATATTATTTTTTACATTTTGGAAAGTGTTTTGACCTAGTGGCTTCAAAGTGTAGTGAATTCAAATTGAATCGGATTCGCTGGCATGTTCGCGAGGCTGTTGACAAAGAGCCAGATTTGTGGTGATACTTCCGAAAGGATGGAACAGGACGTGAGGGTGTACCTCTGGCATAAACACGGTAAGGTAATTAATTATACTTTAATAGACTACTTTAGATCAATCAGTGTAATGGATAAGAGGGATCATGACTAAGCTAAATAACTTCTTCAACGATATTATACTTTTAGAAAAAAATATGTTGGGCTAAACAGAACGGTTTGCAGATTCTGTAATTACTACCGCTAAATTTGAAACAGTACAAATTTCAAAATATCATTTTGTTTGAACTGATAACCCAACTGTTTATTTATGTGGACGGAAGGGATTCAAATTTCTTCGGCGTTTGATGTTAATGCATCCTCCGTTACCGGATCAAGATCAGTGGCGATATCGTTGACGAAAGCTGATAATAAATTTAACACGGAAATTATGAAGCAGTCTATTGCTGGATCTATTCTGACATAACATAGAATCAACGTAAACATATTTGTTCTTGCTGGTTTTTTATTCGGAAAGCAGACGATGTTTTGATCTTGTTCGACTGAATATTTGTTTCCATGCTTTCGAAGTACTTTTGTATGTATAAACACCTATTGCTGTGATTTACGCAAGTAGTGAGTCGAGCCCGTCATCGCTAAATCCATCTTTAAAGACATATGTGTAATTTCCGACAGCAAAATCGCCGTAATTTATCGATGCATCGGTAGGTTGTTTGGTGTACGCCATGTTGGTGGGAAGACAAAAATAGTGCATTTCCGTAAACCATGTATAATTGTGCACGGAAAATCAGAGACCAGTATAACTGATTATATACCTCTGAATGACTTTAATTAACCAATCACAATTAGGGGATAACATTACTGTGTTTGACGAATTGGGGAGGTATACCGGTGGTTATATAGCCGCAAATTTAGTTATATCAGCGACGCGCAAGCGGAGCCGATATAACGTTAAATTTGCGGCTATATAACCACCGGTATACCTCCCCAATTCGTCATACACAGTGCAGTTATCCCCATTCTAATTCAACTCGTTTTACGCGGTCTTTTCGTGAAAGAAATTCATTATTTAAACCAGGTCAAAGTTCCACTAGGTCAATGGTTAATCATATCACTCCTTGAACTTACACCATCGCCAGAAAAAGTAGTTCCCTTTTCAAACTACACACGTTTATTATGTGCACACAGACTAAATCTGACAATGATGAATAGATCATAGTATTATAGATAAAATGGACGGACTAATGATGAAACCGCCCTCTAGTTACAGAAATGAGCGGCCCGCTGATTCCTCAACTACGGGCCATTATCAGTTCTGTTGTCAAATAACGTCACAGCAGGTGACGTCACGCTCCATAATGACGTCATAATCTTGCTTCATGATCTAACAGTGTTGGGTCAACAGCCCGTTGCGAGTAAGTTGTTTGAACTTAAAATTAAATTTATGATACTGTTTTGTCTTTTTTAACACAAATTCCACCCATTTTAGCTGGATAGGGGAGTTAAATGGCTTCTGCAAATGACAATGTCCTGCAAAGCAGCGTTACCCCAATAGTGTAGGGATACATTCAAAGGTTTTGGTGAATCGGTTTTCAAATTGCGACCGTAAATGCTGATTATACGGTCGGAAATTTATAGCATTGACCAATCAGAACTCGTGTTACATACTAAGTTGAATTAGAATTCAGTGTTTACTGAAGTCATGGTAGAATTACAGTTGTTAGCACCATTGACAAAGAAATACACCTTGTTTAGTAGTCTGACATGTAACCCCAGACATAAAATTTTCGAATTTCTAAATATGCATCTAAAAATGAAAAAAGAAGTAATCTAAAAGGGGAAATTCATAATTCCCTAGAGCTGAGGTAATCTAGACTTGACTTGTATTTTCTATGGTGTGGAAGACAGACTTCATTGATATATACTGGACAAAATAAGTTAGGGATATTGTTTTTTTTATGATCATTATTCATAATTTCAAAATTTACATATATCCCTTACTATTTTTGTCCAGTATACTACTGGGAAGAGTAATGTACAACCTAACATTAGCATTGTTGGTATATAGGAGTTATGTATACTTGTTTGTCTGGAAATGTGTTGCTTTGTGTTTTTTCTGAACTCTTTTGCAGGTAATGCTCGCAGTTTTGGTAATTTAATTTGTACTTTTATACGAATCATCACAATGACGTGATTGTCATGTTTTGATTAGCTGAAAGTCCGATTTTGTAACCACAATCACTTTTGGTTGCATTTACGGAAATGACACAATGGGTGAAGATGAAACATCCCTTGTAGCAGCCTGCTACTTCTGCCACTTGTCTGAACCACAACATGTTTTGCCTTAATACAAACAATACCTAACAACACATACATCCAATATGATGCAACGTTTTGCCTTATCTGCTACCATTACAGAGATACCTGCCAGCTGATTTTGCCATTAATCATGATATAATAAAGGATATACTGATATTTTCCGAAACTATAGTCTGAATTCCAGAGGTGATAATCTGTATGATATTTTCATATTTGCTGGAAGTATACACCCAAAATTATGACAGTACGATCATCTTGGTGAAAGTATGAATTATGTGCATGTTACTATTTGATATTAATGTGACCACATTGTTGGTTATTTAATGGTTTGTATATCATCAATAACACTTCCATCCTTCAAAATACTCCCATTCTCAGTTTCATATGAAAACATACGGTAAAGCTGTGACATGACTGGAAGCAATAACGGGCAAATAGAATACCAGTACTGACTGGTCGTTAGGTGGGTATCTCTGAGAAAACACCATTTCTGTAGCCACGCAGGCCAAGCCATAGTCATTACAACTAAAATTGATCAGTTTGCTTACTACTACAGGTTTTTTTCTGATATCCCCTTATATAAGCTAATTGTCACGACACTACTGTATAAAACATATCAACTGTAATGTGTGTAACCATTATTATTTTTAAATTACTATTTTCTTAGATAAGCAACTACTCGACACTGAAAGCTGTGCACCTCAGTGAATTGAGATTGTTACCAAATACACATCGTATTGTAACATGACAGACAGATTTTCTGTTATTTTGCCCTATGCTTCCTCCTAAATATATATTGTATATTTGTCTTTCTTGCAGCTACAAACAAACCCTACAAAAAACAAACTGAAAGAGAAACTTTGACTTCATCTTCCAGTGATGACAGTTACGATGACAGAAATGTCGTTAGTCACATAACAGCTACGGTCTCTGGTGAGTGGTTTGCAATGTGGTGCTATATTAATCTATCTCAGAATGGTGAATCATAATTTGTCATTTGGGATGCAGGAACTACATGAATGGACTGAGGGGTTAGTGTCAGAGTGAAATGCGAGAGTTGGAGTGCATATGGAGAACACCGCTATATGGCTATATACAACTAAGATTACATTGGTACAATTGAGATTATAGCTAAAACACATGGAATTATCATGAAACGGCCCTCCTATTATCAGAAATTTGCGGGCCGCTGCAAATGATATCGGACCGCTCAACCTTAACGACGGGCCACTATCAGTTCTGTTGTCAAGTGACGTCATAGTGGGTGCGTCGGTTCATTCGACATTGGCTTTGGGACTGGGAGATATTCTGGGTCAAACAAGTCAAGCAACCCGAATTCCCGCTTTAAATAGCAGTAATATTGGCTTTCTTGCTGGTGCTGACCTTAACAATTGCACTATTAACGTTGTTGTTGGACCAAAACCGAACACTGACATAGTTTGACATGTTGCAGACTATGGTCTTGTCAAAGGCCAAGGTCGAATTTCGTCACTTTCTGTTGTGACGTCACTGGAATTGTTCGATGACGTAATTGCATTCGTTTGATAATCAGTCAGTCGAAGGGCTAAACTCGCATTATGACTGCATTAGGACGTTTAGTAAACATGATCATGTTGGGCATTGTATAATCTGCCAGTGATAAATTCCCATCCCCTTGAAAATCATACTCTTGATACCAAAGCAGAAGAAAAAAGCCTTCCCAGCCAAATCATGTACTTGCTGTGAGCTCATAGTATCATATAACTGAACATCTTGCCTTTAAATTCTACCTGGGGTTAGTAGAATATGTCAGTGTTGTGTTTCGAACCTGAACTGAGATACTGAACCATCTCATACTAAGATCTTAATCAACATTCCAGTTGCATGGACAAAAGATGACTCAGCATCACTGCACACCTACTTTGGCGATTTCCTTGTGGTGGGAGAACGAGGAACTGGTGACAACAAGGGCAAACTTCCCAGTAAGTTCTAGCATAAAACCATTTCTCGGATATGTATCATTAGGCAGCCTCTTTTTTGAGGATGCAATAAGGTTTTGTCTGATTTTTACTATCCTACAAAGTCTTTCTCTTTTCAGTCACGTTTGAACTTGAAATATAAATATGTATCATTTTGCAAGTTGTCGGTTATTGAACACAGGGGCTAGCTATATAATACGGAGGCTACGGAGGGGAGACATCGACGTTCTCGACTTCGCTGATGCTGCCTCCCATATTGTACAACTCCAGTAATGTCCATTGAATGAACTGTTGAATTGCACATTTGTATACTGTCTGCTTCATTGTTAATAATGAAATGCCCATTAACAGATATCTTAGTTGGTTTATTTCTTATACGGTCCCCCAAACACAGGGAATTAGATCGTTAAACTCACACTGGCTGTCAGTTGTTTAGTATAATTGGCTACTGGTAGGCGACCTGCTATTATAGTGGTTTGTTTTTTATACGACTCGAGGAGTCGTCCTGCGCATGAACCGTATAGATAATAGAGAATCACGGCTCAGTGATCATTATTGATCAGTAGATGATCACTGTTGCTGATAATTGACAAAACAAATATGAAGATTCTATATTTATTAACATTCACAAATATATTAATTCAGATCTTGACACATTGTCTGAATGCAGAGTCAGATCGGTTGTTTTCACGCAACACACAAATTGTGCATCATATGTCCAATGGCACACAGGTATGAGTCCAGATTCCTCTATCTACATATTGCTTCCTACGTTTGGGAGCAGAGTGTCCACGATTAAGTTGCAAAACATTTCTTCCTGATCAGTGATCCATGATTCTCTATCATCTCCCTAAGTACTGGTAGTCACCTATTCACAACCAAAACCTGACCTTGTAACAACAGGGAGCTAGGGGGACAGGGGCTAGAGGAATGATACCATATGGGTAATACATGTTTATCTTGTCTCATAATTCTAGCCTTAACTAGTTACAAACTCTTAAAGGTAGTTAGAATGTTTCAGAATGAAACTGAAAATACAGTAATAGAAAATAACTTCTTTCAGGGAATATTTATGCTGGTTTTTGTTGTTATTTAACTTAAATGAGTACATGGATGAGGTGTGATCTTTTTTTCACAGGGAAAATGGAAACAACGAGATTTTTAGATCTGTCGACACCAAGCTGCCTGCTTCATCTGGACAAACAGGCCGCCTACAAAAAGGTGCGAAGCAAACTCTTCAATGACAGGAAGACCATTCGACAAAATGTTACCAAACACCTACAGCAGTTGCTGTAAAATGAACTTCAGTTCTTGTTTTACACTGTTAATCCACTAAAATTAGTGGAAAAATCACTGAACCTCAAAATTGGTACAGAAATGGTTTTGTGTATATATCCTTTACAATATTTCAATAGTTCAATATATAAAACGTCCTTCCTTGGATGTTGATAAATGGCACATTCTGTATCAAGATTTAACAGAACTTGAAGAAACATGCCAGAATGATATATTAGGAAGAAAGAAAGAAAGAAAGAAAGAGAGAGAGAGAGAGAGAGGATAGTTAAAATACATAAAATAAAAAGCTTTCTGTTGGAATAGCCTATTTTTCCCTAATTTATACTTAAAACAAACAGAACTGAAATAGACAACACATTCTTCTCACATTCTCACATACACGACATATACACACTTCTAACAACCAATATAAATACTACCATGTACTATCTACTACACACACCCACAACTCTCCACACCACCGTGTATCAGATGCATAAGGTGTGACTGTTTGCCTAAAGAGGGGTTAGCATATCATTGTTTATCCGGTTTTAAATTAATACAATTTCAAATTATAAATCTACGTTTAAGTAAAGTTGTGAATTTTTGTGATCCTTATCAAAGTGTAGTAGTATATGATAGCATTCATATTTTCTATGTTATTAATTTTAAAACAATTTCAAAAGGTGATTGAAGGATAAGCCTGAACATTGGGTATTAATTTTATCTGTTGGTATTCAATGTTGTGGAGATTCTGTTGAGATGAATTATCAATTATTGGTTATACCCTTACAATTATTAGCATATACAATTGATAACATATACAACATGTACTTATGTCTATCCACTACATTCTTTGTTTTGTGGATCTATTCAGTTACAGTAATTGCTCAGTGGGCATGTACATTATTATCTTGAAAAACAGAATATGGCATTTAGAACATGGACCAACATAATTTGGAAACAATATGCTGTGTTGGTAGGGCTGTCAAGTGATTCTTCCATAGACAATATGCAGTGATGTAGTTGTCATAGTGATCAACATCATATCATTACAGATGTACCGGTACCCCAAAATCTGTTTTATTGCCCTTTGTTGAGATTCGCATGACATTCATTAGGATGCCTCCAGACATGTCCATGTCTATTCAGAAAGTCCAGTGTGAAACTGGACTCATGTAGAAGCATTACACAAGAACAATGCTGATAACCTCAGTTTCTACACTGTTGGCATCTGACTAGAATGTGTCAATATGTTAATGGTTGGACAACAGTAGATACTACCAATACATTCAGGTATCCAATTCTCTTATCACGTAAACTCTGGTAGTCTGGCGCAAGTGAAAGACAATTTGATTGACTGTTTGTCATACATACATACATACTCTTCAAAACAAGAAACTTGACATACTGTTTTGGTGTTTACTTACTGAGTGCATATAACTGATTCATACGTGACATAATTGCTCAGTTACAGTAAAATCATCACTTTCCAAATTCCAATTTCCAAAACATGATTATCCAGAAAGTGTTTGGTAAAACCAAAGAGGGCTACTAAAGCCACTTGGTCAGAGTAAAATGTCAGTATCTGCTGTGACCACCATGAGCATCGATATCAGCTTGGCTTGGTGACCCATGCGATGCCGAATGCTGGTTTGAGGAATGTTTTGATACTCTTGCTGAAGTGCTGTGTGCAGTTCTTGTAGTGTCTGAGGTGGCGGATTACGCTGGCGGAAGCGTCGATGAAGAGTATCGCATAGATGTTCAATGGGGGGCACATCCGGTGATCGAGAAGGCCAAGGTAACAACCAGAAGATTTACAAATCCAAACTGAAGACATACCTTTTTAAGAAAACATACAGTGTCTAACTTTTCATTCTTGAGTTGTTCGGAGAGCGCTACAGAGCAGTACTTTTGGACTGGAATTGGCGCTATATAAATGTTTTTACGATGATGATGAAGGTAACAACTGAACATTGTTTTGCTGGAGGAAGACCTGTCAAACACGTGCAACCTGAGGTCGAGCATTGCCATGCTCCAAAGATCACGGTGATGTAGGAAACGATGTGACGTTAAACTGGTCTTCTGGCAAAAAGTATGGCTTTCCACAGCCAACTGCGCACTGTCTGTTCGGAGATTCGGAGCAGTCCAGGGATTTTGATTGTTGTAGATAATGCGGCCGTGGTGTTTGAACGAAAATGTCTTAACCGGATGCTGCGACGTCTGTCCTTGAAAACAGCCGATGCCGTTGTGTCGTTCAGCTTCTTTTAGTCTTTTCATTCTCTTGTCGTCTATAGTGGCTTCAAGCAATGCATGTGGTTTTTAAAGCCTACAGTCATAGGCTTCAACTCAGGGTGAGACACAATTTCATGATGCTCGTGCATTTCATGATGGATGCGTTTTAGCGATTCACTACAGACGTGAGTTTAATGTTACGTTTTTATTAAACGTTTCTTTTTTAAAACGTTTTGTCGTCGGCAACCATTCCCCCATATGCTGGGAATCAGCATGGATTAGTTTGTGTCAAATATTTTCCTAAAATTCAAATTTGTCCTAGGTCAAGTTTCTTTGTATATATGGCGGTGTTATTTATTGTTCAATGTTCCAAGTGTAATCTCGTGTTTTGTAATATTGACCATTGTTGCAGTTGGGTGAATATTATCATTTATTACCCATATGGTGAAACATAACCAGTGTCATATATGGATACCATGTAGATTTACCGAACCATGCATCACTGAACTGCTATGGAGATATCGGCCATTTTCACTTTTCATCTTTAAGGGATCACCAAAATTTTTGTTATGATATTTTCATTAAACACGTTTTCCCATTGATGCTTTACTGCACTTAATGCTATATTAGCAGTAACTATTCACATTTGGGATATATTTAATTAGATATTGAAATGAATAAATCTTGGTTCATTATGACATATCCATTGGTTTCATTATTGGTTCCATAATAAAGGACAAACGCGTAAACAATTGTCAATCTGCAAATAACACTTTAATTGCAAACATGAAACAACTAAACAGCTGCACAGAATAAATATGTTTTCACCTTGACATCAACCTGTTAGATATCTTCTCGTTTTCAAAACCTTAAAGGCACCACTTCTGCAAAATGTACAATGGTTTTACATGTCAACTGTACTTGATGTGATATGTTCAAGATATAACATTTAGATACTTTACACAATTATAACCCAAAAATCTGTCAACTTCAATCTATTTCTCACGAACACTTCAAAAGAAACAAACTAACAATGAATCATTTTGAATTTACCAATCTTTAATAGCTCTCAAAACTGCTTGACCAAAGGAAACTTGATCAAATGTCTGACTGAGGTCAAACCAGACTGGGGCCGCTCTATTGCTGGTGCTACAGACAGGAACCTGATTGATGTTGTTGTTTTTTAACATCATACTCACATGGCAAGGGCTGATGCGAGAAGTATTATCTGCTGTCAAAGAGCGGAGGTTTGGAACATCAGTACTCCATTCTCAGACAAGTTCATGTATGAAATGTCCAAATACAAAAGTGGACTGTTTCGAAGCCCAACACATAGAGATAAACAATCAATATTGTAACAGTCAGCGAGGTCAGGTTCTTCTAGACATGTCATAAATTTCAGAAAGGTACTAGATTGGATGTATGCATTGTGAGGTAGATCTAGTAACCTGAGGATTTTGAATTTTGAAACACTAAAGTTGAGTTTCTGTGTAGAATGGAGGATTTCCATTTCTGAGGAGACGAACGTCATAACCAAGCCAGAGTGACTTCACACTACAAACTCAAACTCTTCCTTGGTAACCCAAGTTTGCTCAAACGAAACAGTGTTCCATAGTATGGCATGAGAAAGGGCGTTGTTTTCCTGTTGGTGAATATTGTTTTCACTTTTTTCTTGTGTTGACTGAAACTCTTGAGCACTGAGTTTGTAAACTTTGAATGGCTTTAACACTCTGGCTGAATGGACCACATCTGCCCAGCCATCTGGTGTGTAAACACTTGGGTGCCACTTCATAGCACGCTCAGTATCACCAAAGTCAGAGTCGTTGGGTAGCCAACTGTGTCCACTGACCAGGATTTTGTGTTCCAATATAGTAATCGGGATACCTTCACGTAACGTGAGATATATCCACATACAGGCCATCTTGAAGTTCATATTTGCCCTCCACATGTGTCTGACCATCAAGTAAGATAAATTGTATTACCAGGCAAGGAAAGGATAGAGCTTTAGAGCCATACATCATGAAAAGTTGTATGTCTTTTGTAGTATGTCACGCCTGTTGATAAAAGAGGTGTCACTAAGGTTTTCTGAAGGTCAAAGCTTAAATAGCATGTATTTTGTTCTGTTTTGGAATGTTTTACATCCTTTTGCATCTTCTCTCTGGCTGTCGTTGTTTTCGATTGATGTAGGTCTCTCTGTTTTTAAGTCCATCCACCAGCTCATATTGATTGGAACTTTTGGTTTTGTCTTCTCAGCTTGCAACTGGGTGTCAAACTGATCGCAAGTATCGTAGGCATTTTGGAACAGGGTTTATCAGGTATATTTATGATATTCCTTGGGTTACGTAAATTGATTATCTCTCTAAATAATGACATGGCTGTCAATAGCAAGGAAATCAACGCAGCTTGACCATTGTCATCATGGTCACCAAGTCAGAGTTATTTGCAAAGTAGCTGCCTATAATCACAGTTAGGCAAAGGCCGGTTGGCCACGGGAGCATGGCATTGTGGATGAGGTGCGGATACTGCAGGCTGACCAGACATCTGTCGCAATTACGACACTTGACAGTCTGATCACGATTCGATCCTTAGGGATAAAATTGAGAATGCTTTGTGCTAGTGCGACCGACCCTGGGACAGCGGCTAGGCAGGTTGGCTGACCATCGTTCCCCAAATGCCGCCTAGTCATTGTTATAACACCATGAAGTTATACAAATTAAATCATGAATAAAGTCTTGTGGGACCCACTGATGGATTCCTGTATTTAAATCATGAATAAAGTCTTGTGG